TTAGAACAGCTTATCTGGATATTAGTCTTTGATAACCAGCAAAGGTAAGTGAACAAACCAGGGAATGAAAAAGACAGACAATGGAAGGATTTTTTGAATTTAAGAACTAGCCAAAGAGCTAAACATTTGCATAGCCATTATTTCAACTGAAACTTCCTTTAAATGTGTTTCCTTTCAAGCTAGCATACGTGAAAAGTGACCTCTTATCCACTTACATACCTACCCAGAAGTCATGTGATAGCGTTTTACGTCAAGCTGTCAATTATGATAACAGACACAATAAGAACAGCCCAAGTGTTGATAGCCTGCTTCCTGACTGTATTGAAAATTTTGTTGATAGTCCACTTGTGTCCTTTTAATTGCTTGCCTCTAATAAATGACTACCTTTCCAGTGGTAGTACCAAGCTTTGGCTTCGCCATTTGCCAGTACAAACATTGTAAGAAGATTTAAACTAATATCTTAGTTTTAAAAAATCCTACAGAGGCAATTTCTTAAAAAGGCCATTTTGTGTAACAGAAACTTTCAGTGTAATGAGAAGTACTTTCAAATTGTAGTTTTAAAAAGAAAAGTGTTATAAGAAAAGTATTGAAACAATTTAAATATAAACTAGCCCAGTAATTGAAATTCAAATAATAGAATTATATAGGCATGCAACAGATGTAACATGCTGAAGGCCAGGCACCAATAAAATCCATGCAATTGTGAGAAGTAATGCAAGGACCTGAATTGATCAGGCCACTGATTCATTAGCTCTTATTATAGGTAAGATATATCAGTCAGGAGATTATAATTTTGAGATTATGAAAATAAGGCCAATTTCATATAAACTACAACTTACTTGACTTTACTGTCTCAATTAGGGAAGGCAAAAGTGAATTCCTAATTTATTCAATTAAAATCTGAAATATACATCAAAGGTTAATATGCACTTCAATGGCCTGTTTGAATGGTGACCTTTTATTTCAAACTAGAAACTTCTTACTGACAACTTTTATTTCCAACTTACAAAGAGATTTTTAAATATATGTTGAATTGATGTACAATAGTAAGAATTTAGGCTTTTATTATGACCTTAGACTCACATATAATGGTGATAATCAAATTAGCTAGATTCTCTTCTATTAATACTACCAAAATTTCTATAATAGCAAAGGAAAGAGGCCTGAAATTAGCAACTCACTAGGAGGTTGACCAGATAAGAAACTGGTGCTAATTCAGGTAAGTTGCCTCATATTATTTATCTATGCTAAAATTGTTAGACTGGATCATAAAATACTTTCTGTATTTTCTAAGTACCATCCAACACTATGATTGACAGTTCCCATTTTCTCAGACAGATAAAATTTGGGAAACGTGGTGCCTTCATGGCCTATCATAATGAATCTGTACAATGTGTTGATGAAGTATAAAGTATGAGAGAGAAAAGGATATACTGCGTTTCACTAAACTTCTATGAAGTTAAGTCAGTGTGGAGGTGTTCCACATTTCTGAAAATGTTCCAAATCATAAAAAGGCATTTCTCAGCAGAACTAATGAGTTCAGTTTGCCAAAGCAGGACCCATGAGTTCTTCAAGCCACCAAAACAATCTTCCAATAGAAAAGTTCAAGAAGAATGAAGCTCCAATTGAAGTTCTGATTTTCAGATTTCCCCCATGCCAACAACAAATGCAATAGCTAAGCCAATAACCCCAAAGACAGACAAGTTCTAGACTTGAAAAGTATTCAAGATTGTGTTAAGAGATAAAGAAAAAAGTCTAAAGTCAAATATTGATCAGCTGGTGTGAGTTATTATGACTGATTAGGGAGGATTATTTTTGATGGCAGATTATCAACTGGTTTACATGAACCTTTTGGAAGTATTCTTTATGACTATGTGAATTTATTTTTTTAGATTTAAATGAGATACATTTTCCATAGGTGAACTTCCTTCCAGTCAAAATAAACTAGTATTCCCAATCAGTTAGCAACCAGTGTCATCAGTAACAACTATTATGAAAAGGAGCACAAAGATGTATAATTACTAATAACAACTGTCTCTGTACCAAGCAAATGATATAAAAGTGTATACTTCTAGTATTCAGATTTGACAATATGAATGTATTAGTCTTACAGGTGAAGTACAGGGTTCATTTTAATATTATAAAGCTTTTCATCTCAATTTGATTGAAAACTCCACTGTAGTATCATCTTGTGGAAAGATTATTTATGAAATAATCAAAATTACCCAACAACTTTAAATTTATCATTAACTCTAATTTATGTAGGCTGTATTAAAGTTCTTTTCTAAGAAAAAAAAAGCACTCAAAATTACACATCAGTACTTTTCACAACCTAAAAGGATAAATCTTTATAAAGCAGCCACCATGAACTGAAAAATGTACCTGGTGACAATATTTATTCTTTAAGGGTCATGTATATTAAAGGCTATGGGGAATGTTTAAAAGAACCCTCTCAAACTAAAGCACTGCCTTTCTAATTTTGAATTTCTCCTAGCTAATATAACATGATTGATTACCTTTATTTCATGTACTCCTTGATTTTCCTTTCCATTCATCATTGAGTGCTTTAAACCAAATGCATTTAGAACCTGCCTCTAGAAGAGTGGTCTCTTTTAAATCTTTGTAAAGTAATGAAAGGACATAGTAAATCAATCTCATTTCTACTGTAGGAAAGCATAATTTTTACTTTACTGAAGTCATTTAAACTATATCTGTCCCTTTATTCCTGGATAGTAAACATAAAACTTCATTTCTGTAATTCTTTTAAAATTTGAAAGGCCAAAATGAAAGGCTTTTGACTGCAGCCTTAGTTTACTAATATACAACTATAGCATGATATGTATTTACATGTATTTTCTGCATGTCTCAAAACTGGAGTTCATGAAATAAGGCATACATGGGCTTTTTCAAATTAAAAAATAGCACTAACTCTTTCATTACATAGAGGACAAACTGTCTGCATGATATTTAACATTTTTCAGCTATAAAGGACACATTTTTTTTTGCTTCCAAGGATCTATAGATATCATGCATTCCATAAATATTAACCATAGTTGACTGAAAAAAAAAGAATTCATATTCTAAGTGGTCTTGATTCAACGTGGTCCACTTAAATAAGTGGCTGTCTTCTTTGGAAAGTTTATAGTTCTAGAACTCATAGTTTTTCAAAAATATGATGTGCCAGAATGCTATCTACATTAAAATTCATATTTTCATGATGCTTGCTAAGTTTTCTTGATGTATTTTTAGATATGTGAAAGGAGAAGTAACTTTTATATTAATGGACTTTTGTAATCATAATTACATGAGGCTTCAACGCCAATCATAAGGGATAAGAAAATTAAAGCTGCCATAGGTTAGGGTAGTGGAGGAGGGAGGCTGCCTCCAAATACATGGAATTGGTACTGTATTCTAACTAGCATTTGGGGCTAACAGTTTAAATAATGGAAGCACGTTTTTATGAATTAAAAATTAACTGGAAATTAGAGATGTGTTATAAAAAATAATGCAAATCCCAGGACAAAATATTCCTGAGAATATGTAATGGTTTTTAAAAGAACAAGTTTCTAAACCTATACATCCTGTATTTTTTTAAAAAATACACAATGAACACATACATTTGTCAAATAGAACCATATTATAGTAATTACAACTCATTTCATATTATAGCAATTTTAGAGGTGAAAAATCAACATGGCAGAGAATTATGTTGAAAAGCCAATGACTGGCAAAACCACTAATTATTATTTGGTATTTTCATAACTGTGTACAGATGTTTTCAGTTAGTTTTCACTCTTTTGGTTTGTTTTGTTTTGCTTTTTTAAAATCTGGCAAAACATCAAGTATCCTGAATAAGCTATCATCTTTATGATTTTCTCTGAGCTCTGCATGTGGTGACCTTTAATATGCAGTCTGCCCCTTTGGGCTGCAACTGGAAAGGACTTGAGAACTCCATGCCAAGCACAATGAGGTAGGCCACAATGAGGGTATGTAAGGTGAACAGATCTAGAACAAAGTAAGTGGGCAAAAGTATCCTACTACCTATACAAAAACTCATATATATGCACAGGCAATTTATAAATAAAGAGCAAGTTAGTTAACAACAGCTCCTCATTGTTTCTTATAGCATAATTTTCCCCCATGTAATATTTTGCTTACTGTTAATTTCAAACTGCTCTGCTATCAAAACTTGAGAGCAGCAAACATATACATCATAAAATATATTTAAATTCAGAACGGTTTAGAATTATTTTTGTTATCCTATAACTAGAATAGTGGGATTTCTACATTGGTATGGTCCATGCTTTTGACTGTGGCTAATCTGTTTATAAGCCACCATTAATCCTGGCTGTATAATTTCACAGTTTGGGTAAACACTTCATTTGCATTAAATTTACAGCATTAATGAGATGTGAAATTTAAAATGCTGCTAGAAACATAAAGGATGTAAGACAGCAGAACAAAAAAAAGTGTTTTTATCACATCTGAAATCAGTAAACCAATTTAAAGCTATTAAAATAGGAATGAAGTGTCGCCTGAGATTTTAGCTTCATAACTCATCATCTTGGACTAAAATACAAACGTGAGGAGCGAAACATATGGAAAATGTGAAATCACTCACAAACTTGAATTATATATTGCTTTTATTCTAGTTTACTTTTAAAACAGTTTGCAGTTTTTGTCTTCGAAAGCTATAGGCCAGTAAGTTCTCAATAGCCAATGAAACTGAGAAAAATACACTTTGGCTAAAAGGCTATTACTCGTGGATATTACCAATATATGCTATAGAGATGGAAAAGGTCATGAGCCAATTTGAGAAATTCTGCTCAAAGAGGTGAGAAACAAAGGATCAATGAGAAAAAATTCTGGGAAATGAAATGATCAATTTTGGTCTCAGAAGCCCCAGGAGCCCCCTTCTGAGTCCAGATTGAGAGGCAACATGGAGAAGCACGGAAGCGAAAGCGTGGCTACACCATCACACCTGGGTGAAACTTGCCCACCTGTTGCTGATGTAGGAAGGATGGGTCTCTTGGGCTTAGTCCCACATATCGATTGGCTTGAGATGTGCCTGAGGCTGTGTAGGCTGATTAAGGAAGAACAAAAACAAAGATAAAAATTGTGAACTATGAGAACGAACACCCTGTCCATGTATAAGAAACCTAGAGAAGTGGGATTTGTAACCAAAAGTGTCTTCATTTCTTTTCTGAGTGTATACCAAGTGATAGAAAAGAAATGATACTTGGCTTCAAATCAACTAGTTTATTCCCCCTAAAAAATCTATCCAGTAAAGCAGATCTCATACTTCAGTGTGGGTGCCTCACACTTCCATGCTCTAGTAACTGTCCTGGTGAGGTACTAAGGATTGGTTAAATAGAAGGGTCCTGTACCTAGATGTACTTTTTCACCAGATATTAGTTGTCTAATACGAAATAATCAATGATGGTATATGATTCTAAACGTAAAGCAGACTGAAAGTCCATCAGGAAAAAGTGACAGCTTTTAATGATGGAACTTAAGCAGATGTGCTTAATGATATGGGATGGGAAATGTCTTGTTTAAAAGTCTTGCTAAAAAGGAAATTAAATCTCACTATCATGACGGAGGAGCCTGTATCATGTAGAATGAATAAGCTTGGTATTTTACTTGTGAAAATGGCCTCAAATCTGATAGGAATGTTTTTGAAAAAAAAAACACTTCCCATAAGCACACATACAAAAATCAATTTCTTGTAACTGATCCAGGAAGGGAACTGATGCCCCTGTTAAATAGTTGGCCATGAGGTAGTAACTATTCCTTACATTGTTATAGTCTCACGTGCAAGTACTTTTTGTACAACTGCTTTTTGCTTTTTGGTATAGAGTAAATTTTTCAAACACACATGAAAAATTAATAGGGAGCTACTCCTAAAGACTTTTGTTACTTTTCACAAGGAAAGGACTAAGGTATCTTCCCAGAACTAAGCAATCCCACTGCTCCACATCACCATATATTACCTGCATTGTTCTGAAGAAAGCTACACTGTCTGGTTTAAAACCCCCAGATTAATGAGGAATCCAGGCATTCATTTTAAATGGGCTGGCTTTCTAAAACCAATATATTAATTCTGCCTTTTTCTCTTAAAGGACTGCAGAATTTGACCCATGGAAGCTTTTTTAGGTCAACTTTTTAAAAACAGTGAAAATGCTCACAATTTGTATTTTAATTGCTCCTGAAAAAGGGTCCATGCAAGGCAGCCATTGGCGACCAGTGACCCCTACTCAATCTCCAAGCCTCTGGAATTCACCACACCTCACACCTCACAAATAGCTGGAGAGGAGCTTCACCCTTACAGGAAGAGCACCAAATCTATGCTGCTCTTTCTTTTCAACCATGAGAAAGAGCTTTCCTTGGCTTCTGTGTTTTCTTCAACCTTACTAGCTTATCAATTCAATGACCAGCTTTTTTATTACCGGTAGTGCCTAGGAAGCTGGAGCTACAAGTTTGTTGATAGGAAAGAAAAACTACTCACTATGTTTCTTTTATGTAGGAGTGGAAAATGGACTGATGCAGCCATCTTTATACAACCAAGATATTCCTTTTGAATATTTTGTAATCTTACTAGTCAAATCAGATCCCTTTTTGAACAACCTGTACGTAAGTATAAAAACAGTTCATTAACAAACAGGCTGAGGGTACTCACATAAATGAGCTGTGATCATTTGGGTCTGATCTTCTCCTAAATCTCTTCTATTAATAACACCATAAAAGTAGGCATCAGAGTTTCTAGAACTTGGTTTTGATCATTTATCCTGTGATAATCTTTCCACTACTTAAAAAAAAAATTCTTTGTTTCCTATGTGCTTTTATTTAAATTGCTGACATTGCTCAAAGATGTCAAGACACCACTTTCAAAATGAGTACTTAGTGTTTTAGTGACTGTAATGCACATAGCAAACTTTTAGAACAAAATAATTTTTAGTTTTTCCTCAGTGGTCGCATCCATCTGTGCATTCAGGGAAGTGTTCTAAGCATTAAGAATTATTGATGGGTATTATAAGCCTATAGAAACTTATTAATTTATGGGGCTCATGAATTTTGAAAAAAAATGCTGAATTCACTGTACAAAGTATTGTCCATTTTTCTTAAAGGGTTCCTTCCTACTCTTTTAGAAACTATTTTAAAAAATGGCATTTTTCCAATGGGCAAGAAAGAGCCAGTGGTGCCTCTGATTGTCTCTGATTCACATGGAAATTTCAAGATCATGGGGATTTTCTTGCTATAAGAAAGTAAAAGGTTTGAATTTAAGATACCTGTATAATTGGTGAGGCGCATGCAAATTCCACCAATTCCATAACTTTATCATTCTACTTTACCAATTTATACTTTCTAGCTCCAGTACTAACTAAGAAGCTGACAGCTGGGTGAAACCACCTCAAAATTAATTTCTTCTCCACTTCTGAGCATTTTATATGAAACAATAAAGGAATCGTGGCTTATTGGTATGTGTTAGGAAGGTTCACTGGCTAAATCTCTGACATTTAAAATGTTATGGCCACACTAAAAAGCACACTATTTGATGTACCATGATAGGCAAAATAATCAAAAGATGTTTAAAAAAAGCTTGCAGATAATGAAAGTGCAAGTAGCTTACATGTGCCTAATACTAAGTTTTGAAATATTCTCATCTGCTTCCAATGTTATGTGACTGTTTTTAACAATGACATAACCTACAATAATGTAGACATGCAATTACCTTACAGAGGCACTGATTCCATCTGCTTTGTGAGGGGGCTTGATTTCTATAGGAATGCTCCAATAAGTACCAATTATCTAATCTCTCTTTGGGTGATATGAAAACTTTGTATATGTTGCTCAGTGCAATTTCTATGTATACCCTGAACGAGCAGGCATGACTTATTATGTTTGTTATAGCTGGTAACGTAAACAAATGAGCTTCTCCCTTTTCAAATATGAGGCACTGACTGGAATTTGAGAAGAGAGAGCCTGCGATAGCACGGCCACATCCATGCCTGCTAGCTCCACTTAAATGAGAAATCTCCATCTGGTCAGGTAGCTGGAAAAATTGCCATGTTTTCCACCTTGGATCAGATATCCAATGGTGCCTTTGATGGACATTTCTCATTTCCTACAGAAATACTTACTGGTTGCTGTAGGTGAAGCTGCCTCACCTTCAGTGGATGTAGTGATGGGTTTAGTATCTGTCATGCTCAGGGTCACAGGTCGCACTGCACTGGGATGGGGAGAGGGTGCCAAGACAGGAGTGAAATGGCCAGGCACTTTCCCTACTACTTGACCACTGCTGTTAGGCTACAAAACAAAAACAGAATGCCAGGTGAAGCAATCCAAAAGGCAGTCATCTTGTCCAACAAGTCCGCTCAGCACACACAACCCCGTGGATCCAGCACACTGCACATAGGCACCACACAGGCCCTCTCCAGTCGGAGTTGGAGAGGCTGGTCAATTGTTAGTAGTAACAAGGAGCAGCAGCATTTCAAAGAAGGTATTCATCTTCAAAGCATGTGGTATAATTCCTCTTTACAGCACCCCTGAGAGCCAGGTAGACTTGATCCTTTCATGCAGTAGGCCAGGAAACTCAAGTGGAGACTTAAATGCTTAGCCCAAAGGCTAAAATGGAATCCCTTACTGAACTAGTTAGAGTTGGAACCCAATGTTTCCTTATTTTCTGCTCTTCATTTTCTACAGTGAGTCAGTTTTGGCTTTCAGAACACAATTTTCCCCTACATGATGATATCACTGAAACAAAGGACACAAAAATATCTTGACATCAAACATATCCAATACTGGAATTTTCATTATTTACAGTCAAGAGCCATTCTCCTGCATACAAAACGCTAGCTCTCTCACACAGGTGTGCTCAGATGCACACATTAGGCAATTTAGATTCCAGGATCTATGCTCAACTTTTGAAGATTTACTAATAAAACAGATTGAATGAGATTTAAAGCATCTAAAATTTCAGGGGTCATACAATGACATAAAATGCTGAGCTAGATTTATCTTTACACCTACAAATAAAAGATTTCCAAAGTAAATTAAAATGTACTGAGGGGAAGCAGAGGACAAGCAAATGAGCATTGTTATTTGAGTTACTCTTCCATTATGGTGCATGGAGAGTTACACAAAACATTTATTGTTGACATTTGTGGGAATTAACTGAGAAAATCCCCTGGGCAATGATAGAAAAGATATTATTATGTGAGTTTTAGCCCCTGGGTACAAAAATAGTTTCCGTGGTAGAAAACAAAATCCTAAGGATACACTCTTTGAAGAAATAATGGAATATATTTTTCTAGACAGAGAATGTTATTTTTGATTATACCCATGTTAGAATTCTCCACTGCATGGTATTCATCACAATCTGCCACGAAGCTATTCTCCACAAGTATATAGTCTTTATAATATAAACTGTTAAAGGCAAAGAAAACAATGAAGCAGAATCTTTATCTAAATATCTGCATATAAATTACAAGTAGACATATAATTGGAAAAAAAGATGAACAGTTCATAACACTTAAATATTGTGACTTACAGTCATGAACAAAATCTTTGGTTAGGATCCTCAGAGGCCACATTATTTACTCTATAAAGAAAACAGACTTCTTGAATATCCTGACTATTCATCATGGGTAATTCTAAGTATTTAACTTGATGTCAGGAAAATTGACCAGAGTTTTCCAATATGGAAACCTATGGGACAGTTATACCTTTAAACTAATTTTCTTCAAAATATTCCATTGAATAGCATGACTGTCTCACTATAATTGGTGCAGCGGTAATGCAATTAATCTCAAAATTGCTGTGAGGAAGAAAAGGCATCTCAGTTGCTTATCGTAAAAATCAAAAGCAGTGCAGCGATGGAGAATATTGGGAAGGAACAGCTAACTAGAGGTGAATGGTGAAGGAGTACTAATTTCATTTCTAGAGATAAAATGGTAAATACCAGGAATTTTATTTTGAAATGCGAATTAATTGAATTTGAGTTGGAGTTAAAAATCAAAGCAGATATACTGTTCCTCAAAAAAAAGAAATCTGCAGCTAACTATAAAGATCAATTTTTCCTTTCAATGAGGAAAAATAGTTTGTTTCTACAGCAGACCATCCATTTCTGGTTATTTGAACATTGGAAATAAGAACTTCAAACATCTTACTCAAGAAAGAACAAAGGTCTCATTTTATCATTGATGGTATATTCAGTAGTAAAAATGTTTCTATATCCAGTGTTCACCAAAACAGTTTGAAAGTACCCACCTGTAACAAAAGCAGAATGATAATAATTTCAAAGAAATGCTGCCACCAAATATATTATCCTACCCTGCTCATTCTACAGACTTCATCTGCTGGAATTGAACAACATGAACTGGTAGACACTTCTCTCACTCAAAAAGAATAAAGATGACAAGGAAAGAATTCACAAGCTAATGCAGACAACTTTCCTAAAACTCAGGAGACTCAGAAGAATAGAGGGGTTTTTCCTCGGTTTTCTACTGATTCAAACAGATGAAGCTACACTAAAAATGTCTATCTTTTAAGGCTGTTAATAGATGAACTTTCATACCATAGATAGAAAAACAGAGATGTCTTATCTGAAGGTAAAGCTAACAGCACTAGAAAAGGATTATTCTACTTTACAAATGGTTCCTATTATACCAAATCTGGAGAGTTTTTTTGTTGCTTTTTTTTTTTTTTTTGAGATGAGAGTAATATGCTTCTCTTAGAAGGTGATATGTATCTTGAAGAGGGGAAGAAAAACTTAGAACAATATGGGCAGATTATCACCTAATATGCCCTCTTAACTTATAAAGAAATTGAAATATACGTAAAACAAGCACTGAATAATTAAAGAAATGTGTAACACTAAGGGCCTGATTTTAATTTGCATAATTTTTCCCCTAACAGTGCCTAATTAAGACATCAGTTAAAAAAAAAATCCAATGGAACTCTAAGATTTTCCACACTGAATTAATGTTAAGGACTTTTAATGGATGTCTTAATTAGACTTTGTTATTCATGGAAATTCTACACAAATTAAAATCAGACCTTGTGTGCACTGTTCCCAGCTGAGTCTAGCAAAATGCTCTATGGAACTGAGACTTCTGAATCCATACGCTGACACCAAATTTTATTTCTAAACTGATAAACTAAGTTCTTACTGTTTTACTTAGCTGTCTTTAGTACTGCAGTCATGAAAAGTGCTACATTTTAACATTTTCTGCTAAATACAAATAATAATTTTAACTTCAAATTCAAAATTCAGTATTCAGTTGAGTATCTTAGTTGAACTAAAAGCAATGGTAACTTTTTAACCCAAAAAGTCATGGATATCTTATTATTCACAATAAAAAGTTCAGAAAGGACCATTTTGTTTCATTTCAACAAATTAAGACCAAAGTGATTTTTTTTCTCACCTTTCTCTGCTAACTATAAATCGACAGACACACACTATTTACTAACATTTTAGGAAGTGTTCCATAGTAGTAATGATAGAAGTTTGTGAAAATTCTCCAAAATATTAAAAGGCATAATAAGGAGTAGAGAGGAGTCTTAGCAGTAAAGCAGCAAAGCTAAATACTGTATCATAATATCAAAATTACATGTTTAAAATATTACAATTATTGATAGCCCCAGCTCTGGTACAGACTGTCTACTTGATTGTGGAAAACCCTCATATACCAAATCCCTATGAAATGACCTCTCGGTAGAAGAAACCACATGTCTAGGGGAGTGAGAAATGCTCATGAGTCACTACACTTACACAATGAATCCCCAAAACCACTGCACAAGGTTTAAAAAAAAAAAAGACACTTCTAGTAATGTCATTCATTATTAAATGTTTAAGTCATGTCTCTGCAAAGAATATTCGAGTAGTCAACAAACACTGAAAATGTTTACATTACCAAAGCTTATTTTAATACCTAATAGTTGGTCTATAAATACAACTGTAAGTTCCTTTGTGTGTGTTTATTTTAGCACATACCTTACTCCTTCCTGAAATAAGCACTTTGTATCTGTGTCAAACCAGGTATTTCAGAAGTGTGAACTCCAGCTCAGAGCTTTCCTGTCAGTGTACTTTCTGCATAAACTTTCCCTTCAGTGAATGAAAATCCAAAAACATTAAACCATCTTCACAAATGTACCCTTTGGGGCAACACACTTCCTACCTGTCATTCAGCCACCTTTAAATAAAAACTTACTGAGTCACCCAGCAACTTCCTGAAGATGGATTTGAAGGCTTGACGTTCTGCCAGACACACTGTCTGACTAACCTTCATGTCTCAGAATTAAACCTGTCCCATCTCCCTTAGGTGCTAATCTTATTTTCTCTCTTATTTTTACCTGGCTGGTTTGCGGACTGGATGGGTCATAAGAAGGTACATAGTTCTTCAGAGTATCCTGAGGATTCAGGTGGGGAGGATATCTGATTGTTGGGTGAGAAAAGTAGCTCGATGGGGCTGGAGGAAGGATAGCTTGTGTTGGAAATGGCAACGGTGAGGGTGGAGGTGGAGTTCGAGTTGAGATGACTGCAGAAGACAGAAAAGGAAAGATTGACTCATTAGCTGGTTACCTTATTGCTCCATTCTGATCCTAAAGAATGCTACAATACTATAAACCTGGTAACCATTCCTTTTCGTCCCCATTTTAACCAAGCTCTCCCAAAATAACAGTTACTTTTTCACTTTTACTCTCAACACCAGTCCTGCTAACTACACAGAGACAAAACATCACTCTAGAAAATTAACAATCTTGCTTCCTAGCTCTGTGAGCAGTTACAAAATAAGTTTCTCTTTTATAGGTTATGTCAATACTTGATAAAACACTTCTTTGTGCAAAGTTGGAAACATATTCTTTGATTATAAAATCTTTAGGCTGGGCGCCATGGCTCACGCCTGTAATCCCAGCACTTTGGGAGGCCAAGGCGGGCGGATCACCTGAGGTCAGGAGTTCAAGACCAGCCTGGCCAACATGGCGAAACCCCCATCTCTACTAAAAATACAAAAATTAACCGGGTGTGGTGGTGGCTGCCTGTAATCTCAGCTACTCAGGAGGCTGAGGCAGGAGAATTGCTTGAATCCAGGAAACGGAGTTTGCAGTGAGCCAAGATTGAGATCGCGCCACTGCACTCCAGACTGGCGAGAGAACAAAAGTCCATCTCAAAAACAAAAACAAAACAAAACAACACTTTATCTCATAAGTTCAGAAGTCACAGCATTAAGTAAGAGGGCAAATGAACGACAAATTTTCCACCAAAATTAAAAATAGAAGTGAAATTCAATTTCAAATAAATAATTTCCCTATATATCCTACCTGGCAGTTGTTTAGAAGGCAAGACAATAACTAATACAAAATCATCTCATGTCATTTATAATGATCTAGTTACGATATAAATGCTTATGAACATTGGAATATAGAGCTGGAAACTCTCCTAATGAAAATGTTTCTTTCAAAACCAAAAGACCTCTATTCCGCAACTATTTTTCTTTCTACTCTAACTTTTACTATATGTTGTTTAAAAGATATTGTTAAGGTAAAACCAATAATAAAACCCATAGCAATGCTAATTTAAACTTTCATATAGGTAAGTATATTACTTTACCCATAAATCACATATTTTATAATAATTTTATAAAGGGAAATGCCAAATAAGACACATGCAATGTGGATGATGTCAATTTTACTATCAGTATACTTATAATTTATTTATTTCAGTTTTTGAAATATAAATCTTAAGTTTGAAAGATGAGGAAAGGGTATAATTGTATGATCATTATCTCTACAATGTTGAGATAAATAATCGTAGAAGTATGAATTAAAACCACCAACAAATATATGTAGAACTGAAAAGTAAATGTCTATTTAATATTTTCCAATTCAAATCACAGGAAATAATAAATGTCTAATGTTTTATGAGACAACTTAGCAAAGAATATGAAAAAAAATAAATTCTAACCACAACCTATAATGAGAAATCACCTGGAATGATTTATCTCCAACTTTGTTAACTATGTGATCAAGGGGAGGGGAGGGCCTGTTTATGGGATATATTGCTTACCTCTCCCAAAGATAACTTTTTCAGAAGATACAAGAAATTAAGAACGTACATAATAAAGGAAACATAAATTCAATTTTATAGTCACAACTTTGTTCCCTGAACATCCAGGGCACTGTTTCTCAGCATTCTCTGGATTGTTCTTACAATGCAGATTCCTTGGTCTGCACACAGACCTAGGGAATCAGGACCTCTAGGAGTCTCTGGTGACGCACCAGAATGTATATTTTAAACAAGTGCCGTTGTAATCATCCTACATACTGAAGTTTGAGCATCTTCCACCAAATGTATGCACATTTCAGAAAACAAATGCATATTTCTTAAAACAAAACTCTTTACTGAAATATTACTTTATTTAAGAAGTACACTCATTTGAAAGTATCATTTAAGGAAATACAAACTCTAAGAAAAACTGGGCATCTTTTACTTAGTGTCTAAGTTCTCCTTATCTCAGTTCATTGTAAGCATGATTTTTGCTCACATCTGTACACAAACCCTTGGAAGATATATACATAGTTCCATCTTGGGTCCTCTAGGTTTTGAGATTAATTTGGCCTTAATAGTTCTGGAGGAGATCTCTTTTCAACTGAAATGGCAGAAATCAAATCTGAACTCAAGTCTATGGGCAACCTGGCACTGTGCTTGCATGGGCTGTAGGTGGCCTGCTATAACTAAGAGTAAAAATGACTACCTTTTCCATAGAAGCCATTCTAGTTTTTTAAAAAATAAGAAAAGCGGCCCAGGCATGGTGGCTCATGGCTGTAATCCCAGCACTTTGGGAGGTCAAGGTGGGTGGAGTGGATCACTTAAGGTCAGAAGTTTGAGATCAGCCTTGCCAACATGGTGAAACCCCATCTTTACTAATATATATATATATATATATATATATATATATATATATTAGCCAAGCGTGGTGGTAAGTGCCTGTAATCTCAGCTACTCGGGAGGCTGAGGCAGGAGAACTCCTTGAACCTGGGAGGCAGATGTTGCAGTGAGCCAAGATCATGCCACTGTACTCCAGCCTGGGTGACAGAGTAAGACCCTGTCTCCCAGGCACTTGTTTAAAATATACATTCTGGTGCCTCACGAGAGGCACCTAGAGGTCCTGATTCCCTAGATCTATGTGTGCAGACCAAGGAATCTGCATTATAAGAATAATCTAGAGAATGCTCAGAAACAGAGAATGCCCTGGATGTTCAGGAAACAAAGTTGTGCCTATAAAACTGAATTTATGTGTCCTCTATTATATACATTCTTAATTTCTTGTATCTTCTGAAAAAGTTATCTTTGGGAGAGGTAAGCAATAGATCCAATAATTTTTGTCTTGTATTTTGCTTTTCTTATTTTTATTTATTAAAAAATACGAAAAGCAAAATACAAGACAAAAAAAGTTTTCCTTCATTATGACAAAATAAATACATACACACATATGTGTATTTCTTGCATACATTATTGCAAAGCCTTCTTAAGTGTCTTCCTTCCTTCAGTCTTGCTCCTTCCAATACATCCTTTATAGTGCTAAGTGAATGACTTTTTAAAAATACCATTATAATCCTGTAACTTCTCTGCTAAAAATATTTCAATGGCTTAGGTGGTAAAATATAGTAAAAAAAAAAAAAGAAGAAGAAGAAGAAAAAATTTCAATGGCTTCCTACTGCTTCCAGAATAAAATCCCAACAGCTTTTTCAGTACACATAGCCTCATGTGCTTTGGGACCGTGTCCTGGATCACTTCTTTGGCCTCATCTCTGGCCACTTGAAGAGATCTGTGGATCCTTGGCTAAATGGCAGTTCCCTGCTGCAATGGCCTCTAATGCACTGACACATGTGGTTGCCTCTGCTTTCCAGGTTGCCCCTCTTCCTCTAGTTCACCCCTCTGCCTCCCAGATTGCCCCGCTTCTTCCTGGTTTGTTGTTCCTTCTTCCAGCGAACTTTGCCATCACACTTTAGCTTAAAACATATATCTTCCAGGCATCTAATCCTCCTTCAGGGATCTAGTCATGTTCAGATTAGAAACCCAGTCAATGATGCGGCCCCTACTCTCTCCCTACTATATCCTGAACTCTTGAAGGACAGAAACTATCTTTTGTGACCGAGGTGCCTACCACAGGCCGTAACATACAGATACTGAACAAATATCTGGCAAAGGACCAAGGTGGAAGGCTCATCTGGGTCTCTCCTGTTTCACGATATAAAAATATACTGTTTACTTCTTTTCACATGTTAGAAATAAGAATATTTTCATCAGGTGTCATAACAAATGGGAGATTCGACTTCTCAGTTAATTTTATCCAAATATTCAACATTACAGTTATTGATTTTTTTTCACCTATCTAAATGGTAGAGGTAATAAATGTAAAAGTCCTTATACCACATTGAATTTGTATAGTACTCTTTCAATTTCATAATTTTTTAATGATAGCAATAAAGGCCATATATTTTTTAAGTATAGCAGCAAAAAATATCAACATATATTTATAAACCAAAGCTAATAAAGACTTTATTTTTAAAAATGTTACAATGCTTGCATAAAGATTTAAAAACCAGATTCAATTAGTTAGAAGGATGAGGAAATGCTTAACTATAAATTTAAACCAATAAAAGTTTCATTATTAACATATTTTTATAAAAGTTTTTCCACCTAAAATGCAGTCTACTCCTCTCTAGGAATTAAAACTAGTAAGTAAAAATATACAGTGTTCATTATTAGCTGTATCTCATTTTCAATTTTTGAAAGATTTGATATTAGCTGTTGGCTAAAGTAAAAATATTAGATTCATTTTCCTAATGAAGATATTAGACATAATATCAAGTGTACTAGTCTAAAGGATTTGGGCATATAAAACAACTGTCAAAGAAAAGTACCTTTTATCTTCTGATTACTCTCAAACACATAAATATTGATTTATATGTAGAAAATAGCATCTACTTATTAGATGCTCATAGAAATAGTGCCTGTATATTTTAATGCCTTTAGAAAACTCTAAACTCAGCAACATAATTGAAATTCCATCTTTCCCTTAGTAAAATATCACAACCAATCCTAAAGCTATAGTAAAGACAGCTGTGTACCCATATTTTCCACATTCTTCTGATAACAATCTTTTTGATAAAGGTAATTTTAAAATACATATTATAAATATTATTTACTTGTATGACTTTGAAAATCTTCTCCATAAATCAAGAAGAAAAAATATTTGATGAGACTGTGCCCCTCCCACTTTTGGTTGAGAAAAATATGGTCACCATAGCTATAATTATAAAAGTTTGCTCCATCCCTAAGGGATTGGGCCCTATAGGCAATACGGAGGATTCTCCTCTATGCTTGAAACTCCTCACCACTGTGTGCAACTCCAGGTATTCCGGGGTGGTGATGCTGGGGGAAAGTGCTCAGTCTTGGGGAAGAATCCTGTGGAGATGCAGAGCTGAACAATGGCTTTTCAGGCTTCTTCATAGTAGTCGGAGAAGACATATCTGCAAGAAAGAGAGGAAAACCCAAGGCTATATGTATGACCTTCTTAAGTTCAAAGGTTCATTTCATCATAATGAGAAATCTCCCAAATTTTAGTATTCTCATACTTTGGCTCTCTTACAAAATATATTCTGAGTATCAAAGATCTAGCTATGCTGGAGCTCTGAAATATTTGTTCAGTCTCCGTGGACGCTAGAAGAAGGCTTTATTAAAATTGTCATCAGAATTATTTCCCTTACTAACTAAATCTTAAACTTCTAAAAAGCCCAAAGTCTTGTTTCCTTTAGCCCCTTGGTTCACACAAAGGCCTTCTTTACCTCAGCATTTCATTGTTAGATTTATATGATTAGGAGACTGTCTTTCAACCTGGCAACTACACCGTGAATAGCGGACAACTGGTGCAAATGTGAAAAACAACCTTTGGGGATGCTGGTAATTATACCACTGATTTCAAAGCTTTTATGGAAAACTCATTCATTTGTTTAGCAAAAAATACATTCCTTAATTTTCTCATTCTGTAAACATTTACTGGGTTTTTCTATTGTCCAGATAAAATTAAGATGTTAAAGAAATTAAAAGTAATTCCTGCTCTAGGGATGCTCACTGTTAGCAAGGGGGAAAATGATTAGGAGAAAATGGTTGTAAACGGTCGAGAGGTACAACGTGTATTGAGAACAGGGAAGTTTTGGAATTTGCTGATACATCCCCAGCTGAGATGTACAGGGCAGAGATCGTCTCAGCCTCCCCAGGATGAGGAAGGCATTTCCCATTGGCACCATTTTCAAAATGTGAATGGGGATGACATTCTAAGAGAGGAAATTCTCAGAAAAAAAGAGGGCATAAAATACACAAGTAGTTCGAATAGTGTGTGGAGGGGTGAAGGATGAAGAAGAGGAGCAAGGCTCTGGCAGGTCTCGTAGGATGACGGGTCTCCAGCTTCCTGTACAAACGTCTGAATGCTTACCCTCATGGGAGAAACACTATCGACAGGCAAACGATGACCATAATGACAGTTTACAGCAATCCCCTCAGAAAGTAAATGGAGGGCAGACTGGCCAAAACAGAGACAGAAATCACGAAGACCACTTCAGAAGACAGATTCATTAATACATTTATTCCATAAATACTTGTTCAAGACCTAATTTATGCCACATGCTGCACTAGCCTGCGAACACCGTGGTGAACTGGACTCACTTGCAGCTCCTGTAAAGCTTAAAATCTAGTGGGGCAATGTGGACAAGTAAGAAGGAATTGCAAAAGGTGCTGTGATAGGAAAATAATTCAGAGATTTCAGGCTTCATTCATTCATTCATTTCATAAATATTTAACACTGTCAAATGATTGATCATGAGAGCTTGATTAAGAATCAGTATAGAGCTAATGCAATAAATAAACAGAATTTACCCAATTAAAGTAATAACTAATGTAGACTGTCATCATCTTAGTTGACTAAGAGATTATACCATGCAGTTTGGAATAAATAGGGAGTTCAGAAAGAAACTGATTAGTAGAAAAGATACACCTTGGTTTTAACAGGTTGAGTGATGTTGACTCTAATGGAAGTTTATCAACTTATAGTAAAATGTTATAAAAGTGAGATGAGCTACAAAATTTGTATTTTATTATTAAAAAATGTTAAATATATTCACGAGTAGACAGAATTGTAATGGATCCTCATGTACCCATAACCCTACTTCAGCAATGATCAATTCATAACAAATCTTATTTAATCTTTACCACATCTACACTTTCTCTCCCTGTGGTACTTTGAAGCAAATCCCAGATAGCATATAATTTTGCTTCTAAGTAGTTCAGTATATATTTCTTAAAAAAAAATCTTTATTAAAAGAAAAAAAAAAGCAACACTTTATCACACATACAAAATGTACACAATTTACATTTTTAATTTGAATTTTTTTTTGAAATGAGCAAAGAGCTTATGGTGCTATTAATATAAGAAACTAACTATCATTACATTTTACCATTTGAAAAATTACCTAAGCTCTGGTAAAGTCATTCGTAAAATTAAATATGCATTTTCAGTATGGTGGCATTTAAAGGATGAATATGCTACTGTAAAAGCAGTAGACATCACAGTCTGCAAAAAATGCCAGGCATATTTGTAGCTATAAGCTACGGTTTGTGACTAACTGGTTGTCATGAACCTATCAGAACTTTGATGAGTCAGAGAACCATTTCTGTATATCTTTTTCAAAAAGAAAAAAAAAATACGAAAGAAATTGTTCATAAAGCCACAGCAATTAATGCAACTATAAAAAAAGAAAAAAATGTAAACTATGGTTTCAAAAGTAGACAAAGAAAGCTAATTTCAGCTAAGATATCTTTAAAGTGCCAAAAATAATACCTATTTTTGCTTAAGAGCTATGTGATTACAAAAGGTAATACTACAAATATAGGCTTTTAACTAATCAATGTAAAATCTTAGACATACAGATTATTAGCGGTGGAAAGAACCTCTATTCTGCCTTTTTTATTACAGATGATGCAACAACTTTCCATTCCAAGTTTTTAATTTAAAATTAACTGTTAGAAAAAGAAACTGGGGAAACTTTTTACTGATATTCTTCTGCTTTACCTGTGTTTAAATATAAATTTCAAGTAAAATGGAACTGGGTAAAAATCAGTTTCCAAAAATTCCATAGTATAAATAATAAAGGATAACTATACATTATTTAAAAATTTAGGCCAGGTGCAGTAGCTTATGCCTGTAATCCCAGCACTTTGGGAGGCTGAGGTGGATGAATCACCAGAGCTCAGGAGTTTGAGACTAGCCTGGCCAGCACAGATAAACTAAAAATACAAAAGTTAGCTGGGCGTGGTGGTGGGCGCCTGTAATCCCAGCTACTCCGGAGGCTGAGGCAGGAGAATCGCTTGAACCTTGGAGGCAGAGGTTGCAGTGAGCAAAGATAGTGTCATTGCACTCCAGCCTGGGCAACAAGAGCAAAACTCCATCTCAAAAAGAAAAAAATTTAATGTGACCACAACTTGAGAAACAAAACAGTGTCATTCTAGGTTTGTCGTTTCTGGAGAAGTGGATTAATTAAGGCAACTGCAACTACTGTAACTATCAGACTTCCCATTAAACCCTCACAGATTCATGGGTCTCCTTTTGTAAAGGGCACATAAATCAAGGATGTTTATACAGAACTTGAAGATGATTATGTAATTTTTAAGGTAAATTATGTAAATTTTAAGAAAAAAAGCGTTTGCACTTTCTTAGCCAAAATGACACACTTGCTTTTACTAAGCAATTATGATGAGTCCATTTATTTTTTCAACTATTTTTGGGGCATTCACCTAATAATAATGGTACTTTCATAGAGGATTATACAGACCAACACAGAAGAAAAAGAATAAAATTTGCTCTTCAAGTTGCAAAGGGAGCCACAAACTCTTTTCTTAAACAACAAAAGTAACTTATAATAGTAAATATAAGAATGGGAAGGTTCACTGACCAAACTGAAAGGATTTGCTTTAGAAACAGGCAAAGAATGGTAGTATTAGAATATAGGCTTAATTGTCTTTGTTTTTTCATTAAGTGAAATTAATTCTTGGCCCATTAATAAAAATAAACTGCTGCACATCACGCAGAAGGCACTATGCTAAGAACTTAGGAAGATACAAAAGTGAATCCCCTTTCAAAATAAATAAATAAGTAAAATGCTCTCTAGACTAGAAGGGGAAATAAAAGATCAATTATCTGGGGAAAAAGTAAGGGTAGAGTTTCTAGCTATTACATTTTAATCATGAACCAAACTAGTATTAATTTTATTTTGAATGTCTACAGTCTAAATGACTTCATGCTAAGGTGAAAAATGATATTGTTTCTATTTTTAATGTTCTCATATACTATAAAAAAAAGTTTGAAAATGAATATATAGAAGAGATAGTTTCAAGTGACCTTTCTGTGAAGAAAAACAAATGCCATGCTTTTCACAATCTACTGTCCCTCAAGCAGGAAGAATAATACATAAAAAGATTAAGTTGAAAACAAGTTGAATAATAATAAAGCTGAATAATGCATAAATATACGATAACTTGAATAATAATGCATACATAATAATGCATAAGTTGAATAATACATAAAATAAAGATGCTGAAAAGAGATGCAAGTTGATAAGCAAAGGATTAGCTGATGTTTCTACTGGTAGGAGGGAGGCAGGAGTTGCTGGTAGTTGATGAGAAAGAAACAGAGGCCAGTGATGGCTTGAAATCAGACAAAACAATTTAAATTTGATTTAGAAAGTACTAATTTATAAAGGAATTGATTTTAGAAGAAAAAACTTTCTAAAAATTTGATTTTTTTTTTTCTGTTCTCACCGCCCTTTTCACTTGTACCTGGTTGAACCAAAAATTTTCTTCCTGATCTCCTCCAGGCCTTCCTCACCATGACACATAAAAACCAGCAGCCAGCGCCGTATCCTTCAAACAGTCTCTTTCTCATTGCAGGTTGTACCACAGTACCACATTTTTATATAGCTCTGTTTCTTTGTTACACCAGTTTATTTAAACTTTAATGAAGCTAATTTTCTTATGGCATCTTTTAGGAGCAGGAAAAATACCTTTTTTACTCTGTGCCATTACTGGTCTATGACATTCCCTTGAACTAGAAAATGAGGCATTTCTACTTTCTTTATCCCACCCATAAAACAATGCTTTACTCACTGAACAAACTTGTTTTCTCCTTAAGTAATCTCTCTTGGAAAACCCTGAGATCTAGATTTCATTAATGATCTTTTCTTTGTATCTTATGTTACCGGACAGATTTTTCATTATTTACTGTTGTATCCTTTGCATATACTTTTTTTTAAAAAGTTGACTAATGGTTTACCTCCTAAGGAAAAATGCTTTTATCAAAAACATAAAATGATGTAGAGGCTGGATGAACATGCTACTTGGGAAGAGAAAAAAAAAAAAGCAGAAATGAAAGAAAGAAGAGGTAAAGCAGGCACCATGTCTAGACAGCTTATTTTAGAATCTC